TAAGGATCCAATAAGCCCAACATTGATTCCTTCTGATGTGTCAATAGGGCAAATACGCCCATAGTGGCTAGGGTGAATATCTCGGATCCGAAAACTAGCAGTGCGTCCTGTCAGCCCCCCCAGGTCCTAAATAACTAAATTTTCTTGCATGAACTATTTGTGTCAATGGATTGGTTTGATCTAAAACTTGAGATAATGGGTGTAACCCGAAAAAAGATTCATACGTAGTTGTTAAGGGAGTTGAAGTTACCAAATTCTGAGGAGTGGGTATTAATTTATGACGAATTGCTCCACATATAGTGCTTTTAACGACATTTTCGAAACGAACGAGAGCCAATCCAAATTGATCTTGTAAAAGATCCGCTACAGACCTAATACGTTTATTTTGCAAATGATTCATATCATCAAGTGTACCCATTCCAAATTTGAGTGCAATCAAATGATCGGCGGCTGCTAATATATCTCGTGGTACCAAAAAAGTATTATTCTGGGGTATATCAAGATTAAGTCTTCGGTTCATATTTCGTCGACCAAGCTGTCCCTAATTCACATCTTTGGTGAAAAAATTTTTTTTGTAATTCCTTACATAAGTATTCATACACTAATAGATCACCGCCTACGCAAGCGAATTTTTTATAAAACTCCAGAATCGCGTTTTCTTTTGAACCAATTTTTTTTTTTATCCTTATCACTAAGAAAAGATAAAAAAATTTCAGGATAACAGGCATTTTCTATAATTTCTCTTAGATCTAATCCCATAGCTGATGATAGCACTAAAATCGATATTTTTTTTTTCCTACTCACACGAGCCCATATTCTTGCTTTTCTATCAATTTCTAATTCTGATCTTCCTCCCCAATCTGATATTATTGTGCCGGTATAAACCGAAATCCCGTTATGGTCCAATTCTGACCGGTAATAAATGCCAGGGCTTTGTAGTATTTGATTGATCACAATTCTATAGATTCCATTTACTATAAAACTTCCCAGGGAATTCATTAGAGGAATGCTGCCAAGAAAAATGATTTGTTCTTGCATACGTGTAGATTGATCCTTACTTGCTTTCCAAATTAATCCTGCCAATACATAGAATTCAGAAGAATATGTGAGTGAGTCATACACAGCATCTCTTTCCTTGATCAATGGTTCTACCAATTGAGATGTTTCCACAAATAAATGAAACTGAATTTCTTGATCGAGATCTTCAATTTTTTGAAACTTAGAAAGTTCTTCGATTAAACCTTGATCAATAAACCTACAAAATCCTTCAAATTGTATCTGATTCAATCCAGGGATTGTAGTAACTCCGTCCTTTTTTTCCATCTACAAGCATTTTTTTTTTGTAATTCCTTTTTATTTTCTTTATTATTGATTTTATAAAACTTTACGAATCCTTCATCTAATAGCTAAGAAAATAGATGATTTATTAATGAGTTAATTTCTATTGTTTTTACTGAATCACATTAAATTGTATCAAACTCCATATCTGAACTATAAAACAGATTTAAGAATTTCATAGATCATTAAATAAATAATTTGAAAATATTTTTTTTAGTATCTTAGAAATAAAGATTTTGATTCAAATAAAAGATGCTTTCGTATACTCGTAGTTAAATTGATACGCTTAAAGGTTCCCACTTTCATCTGACTTTTCAATATAATCTTTAATGGCTCAAATAAAATAAAAAAAAAAAGTGGAATAAACTCAGTCTTTTTTTAGTAGAAAAGAAAGAAACAAGTACAATCAAAAAAGTCGTTCCCCAATTTTTTTGTATCCTTTTGGCGACATGGCCGAGTGGTAAGGCAAGGGACTGCAAATCCTTTTTTCCCCAGTTCAAATCCGGGTGTCGCCTGATCTATGGATCTATAAAGAATTTCAAATATCTTATTGTTCATAGGATTCCTATAAAGGAAAATAAAAATTCCGCATACTACTAATTTGAATTTATTCTATTTAAATCCTTTTTTTCGTATTTTTTTTTCGTAAACAGAAGAACCTCTATCCCGTTCTTTCCTAGCTCCTATGCTCCTATATAATCATATGGAGGGATGCCAGATTAGATCGCAATGAGAATTAACGATTTTTATATTTTTGTATATTGATTGCTATTTTTCTGAAATTAGGAAAATAACGCCAGATCCTTTTGTGGTTTCGCATATTTTGCATTTTCTTTTTAGGTCATCTTCCATAATCCCTTTTTTTCATTTTTTATGTGTACTCTACGCGGGGGATTCCATTATTCTTATTAATTTCTTATAATTGATGAGGAACTTAGTAAAAATAAACTAGTTATAATGATAACTAGTTATAATGATAGGAGGCATAATGAATATGGATATAATAAGTCTTGCTTGGGCTGCTTTAATGGTAGTTTTTTACTTTTTCTCTTTCACTAGTAGTATGGGGAAGGAGTGGACTATAGAGGTTCTACTAAATTGAGTTTTGCGTAAATAAAAATTTATTCATTTTTTTTATAAAATGTTTCAGAACATGTGAATAACCCACTCTGCTCTTTCAATCTTTAAATAAAACATATTTTTCAAACAAAAAGAAGGCTAATAGTTAATAGATAGTGTGAGTTAAAAAAAGGGAATCATCTATGGATTAATTTAGGATACTTCCTTTATTTTGTACTTTCTTAACATATTATCTATTACTATTAGTCTATTCTATGAGTATTTTATGAGTCTCGTGCTTTATTGCTAATTTGAACCAGTTCTTTTTTTTTTAATTAAAACCTTCAAAAATTTGTAATAGAATTTGTTTTGATAAGATAATCTAATGATCTAACCCAGGAGATAATTTTTATTTCAAAATAGATGAAATACTAATTAATTATTTTTACTGACGGTTTTTACGTAAATGATAAGTAGAAAGGGCGGTAGGAAACTAAAATCAATAGGGCCGTAGCAATAAATGCAAGAATATTGACTTCCATAATCTCGTTGTTTTTTTACTTCGCAATAACTTGGGATTTAATCCCATATAAAACTTCAAGATAAAAATGAGAAGCAGTAACCTTATTTCTTTCTTCTTTGGATCCATCGGGACTGACGGGGCTCGAACCCGCAGCTTCCGCCTTGACAGGGCGGTGCTCTGACCAATTGAACTACAATCCCCGTCAATCAACTAAGGAATCCAGTCAAAATTTTTCTTTTTCTATCTATCAGATATACTTCTGAGATATTTTTCAAGGTCAGGTTCTTTTTTCTTATTTGGATTTGCGAATGATTGGGCCGAGCTGGATTTGAACCAGCGTAGACATATTGTCAACGAATTTACAGTCCGTCCCCATTAACCACTCGGGCATCGACCCAGGAAAAGCCAAATTACTACTCAATTTTGTAATTAATCCATTAAAACATTATTAATTCATTATAAGCTTCCTTTCAAAGTACCCTACCCCCAGGGGAATTCGAATCCCCGCTGCCTCCTTGAAAGAGAGATGTCCTAAACCACTAGACGATGGGGGCCCGCTTGTCCAACCAACCTCATACTATGATGTGATAGTAGGAACCTTTTTTTTAAATTGTCAATAGATGTAAAAGATTTAAATATTCTAACAGATCTTTCCCTTTCTAATCAGTTATGTTTTTCAATTTTTTGATTTCCCATTCAGCAATCTTTGATTAAAACCCGAATTTGAAATCTAGTATTTTCCTATATTTTTGGATAAATTTTTAAAATATGCTCCGTCCACAATGAAATTAATATTCTTCTAATAAGAAATTTCATATAAATAGACTAGCTAAAATCCAGAGATATATAAGAGAACTGGAGTATCTTTTCTGGATTTTATCAATATATTAGGAATTCAATAGAATACGCCCCTTTAACTCAGTGGTAGAGTAACACCATGGTAAGGCGTAAGTCATCGGTTCAAATCCGCTAAGGGGCTATGTAAAAGAATTGAAGTTTTTTTTTATGTAATAAGAATAATTAAATGGATAAAATCTTATTCCGATCATGAATATTATTTTATTTTTTAGATTTAAAATAAAAGTGTAACTTTTTTTTATATTCAATTATTTGAATTATACTCTATACTCAAATACTAAAGTTATAAAATCTCAAAAAAAAAAGAACTATCAATTCTGAAATCCTAAAATACTCCTATTTTCTTTTATAAAAATAAAGTAAACTATAGTGGATCTGACTCATGTAAGAATGGCTAAAGTCGCTATTATGATATTCAAATTAGATAGAGATAAAAGTGCACTAATTCATTTTAATTTTAATTCTTATTATATAAGATTAATGAAAAAAAAAATAAAATTCAGACTTATTTAGAATAATGCTTAGTGGTAGGAATAAGAATGAAAATGAGGAAATAAGTCTGAGAACATTTTTTTTTCAAAAGATGGATGGATCTATTCAATTAAATGGGTATTAGCTATTCAGAATGCAAGGAGAGGTTCTCAAAAGAAGAATCCAAGTAAGTTCATGGATTTCTCCATACCATTTATGGACCAATCATTCCAATATTGAATATTGAAAATATTTCAAAAATAATTGGATCTTCGAAACCGATGGGAAGGGGCGGTGCAAGATAAATCATATCGCAATGATAAAAATCTTCAGATGTCCCAAAAATGCTATGCGGTGCTCGGAAATGGTCAACGTAGTTGAATAGGAGGATAACTATGACTATAGCTCTTGGTAAATTTACCAAAGACGACAAGGATTTATTTGATAATATGGATGACTGGTTACGTAGGGATCGTTTCATTTTTGTCGGCTGGTCCGGTCTATTGCTCTTTCCTTGTGCCTATTTCGCTATAGGCGGTTGGTTCACAGGTACAACTTTTGTAACTTCATGGTATACCCATGGATTGGCTAGTTCCTATTTGGAAGGGTGTAATTTCTTAACTGCCGCAGTTTCTACTCCTGCTAATAGTTTAGCCCATTCTTTGTTGTTACTATGGGGTCCTGAAGCGCAAGGAGATTTTACTCGTTGGTGTCAATTAGGAGGTTTGTGGACTTTTGTTGCTCTCCACGGAGCTTTCGGACTAATAGGTTTCATGTTACGCCAATTTGAGCTTGCCCGATCCGTTCAATTGCGACCTTATAACGCCATCGCATTTTCTGCTCCAATTGCTGTTTTTGTTTCTGTATTCTTGATTTATCCACTAGGTCAGTCTGGTTGGTTCTTTGCACCAAGTTTTGGGTGTAGCAGCTATATTCAGATTCATCCTATTTTTTCAAGGGTTTCATAATTGGACATTGAACCCCTTTCATATGATGGGAGTTGCCGGTGTACTGGGCGCTGCCTTGCTATGTGCTATTCATGGTGCTACCGTAGAAAATACTTTATTTGAAGACGGCGATGGCGCAAATACATTTCGTGCTTTTAACCCAACTCAATCTGAAGAAACTTATTCAATGGTTACTGCTAATAGATTTTGGTCCCAAATATTCGGGGTTGCTTTTTCAAATAAACGTTGGTTACATTTCTTTATGTTATTTGTACCCGTAACCGGTTTATGGATGAGTTCTCTGGGAGTAGTTGGCCTAGCCTTGAACCTACGTGCCTATGATTTCGTTTCTCAAGAAATTAGGGCAGCAGAAGATCCCGAATTTGAAACTTTCTACACAAAAAATATTCTATTAAATGAAGGTATTCGTGCTTGGATGGCCGCTCAAGATCAGCCTCATGAAAACCTTATATTCCCTGAGGAGGTTCTACCACGTGGAAACGCTCTTTAATCGAACTTTAGACTTTACTGGTCGGGATCAAGAAACCACAGGTTTCGCTTGGTGGGCGGGCAATGCCCGACTTATAAATTTATCCGGTAAACTACTGGGGGCCCATGTAGCCCATGCTGGATTAATAGTCTTTTGGGCCGGAGCAATGAATTTATTTGAAGTAGCTCATTTCGGACCCGAGAAGCCTATGTATGAACAAGGATTAATTTTACTTCCACACCTAGCTACTCTAGGTTGGGGGGTAGGGCCCGTTATAGACACCTTTCCTTACTTTGTTTCTGGAGTCCTTCATTTAATTTCCTCTGCCGTATTAGGTTTTGGCGGTATTTATCATGCACTTCTGGGACCTGAGACGCTTGAAGAATCTTTTCCTTTCTTTGGTTATGTATGGAAAGATCGAAATAAAATGACCACAATTTTAGGTATTCACTTAATCTTATTAGGTATAGGTGCTTTTCTTTTAGTGTTAAAGGCGCTTTATTTTGGAGGTGTATATGATACCTGGGCCCCAGGAGGGGGAGATGTAAGAAAAATTACCAGCTTGACCCTGAGTCCAGGTCTAATATTTGGTTATTTACTCAAATCTCCTTTTGGCGGCGACGGATGGATTGTTAGTGTAGACGATTTAGAAGATATAATCGGAGGGCATGTATGGTTAGGTTCAATTTGTATATTTGGTGGAATCTGGCATATCTTAACTAAGCCCTTTGCATGGGCCCGCCGCGCACTTGTCTGGTCTGGTGAAGCTTACTTATCTTATAGTTTAGGGGCTTTATCCTTATTTGGTTTCACCGCTTGTTGTTTTGTTTGGTTCAATAATACCGCTTATCCTAGTGAGTTTTACGGACCTACTGGACCAGAAGCTTCTCAAGCTCAAGCATTTACCTTTCTAGTTAGAGACCAGCGTCTTGGAGCGAACGTGGGATCCGCTCAAGGCCCTACTGGTTTAGGTAAGTATCTAATGCGTTCTCCCACGGGAGAAGTCATTTTTGGAGGAGAAACTATGCGCTTTTGGGATTTGCGTGCTCCGTGGTTAGAGCCTCTAAGGGGACCAAACGGATTAGATTTGAGTAGGTTGAAAAAAGACATACAACCTTGGCAGGAACGACGTTCCGCCGAATATATGACTCACGCCCCTTTAGGTTCTTTAAATTCCGTGGGTGGCGTGGCTACCGAGATTAATGCAGTCAATTATGTTTCTCCTCGAAGTTGGTTAGCAACCTCACATTTTGTTCTAGGATTTTTCTTTTTCGTAGGTCATTTGTGGCACGCAGGAAGGGCTCGTGCAGCTGCAGCCGGATTTGAAAAAGGAATTGATCGTGATTTTGAACCTGTTCTTTCTATGACCCCTCTGAATTGAGATCGGACAAGGGATATGATGATTCAGGTAGGCATCATTATGATTTTAAATAATCGTATAGAAGATTGAATATTCAATATCAATAGAATGGAGTTCTTTTCCCTTTAAATTAAGATTCAATCTATTTTTTATCGCTTGCCTTGCCTAACGGAACTGGCTTGGCTATCCCAACTAGCCACGCCAGTCCCGTTTATTTTGGATACCACCCCATAAAGAACCTATTCTATTCAATAATAAAAAAATAAAAAGAAGGAGAGAGAGGGATTTGAACCCTCGATAGTTCTGTAAACTATACCGGTTTTCAAGACCGGGGCTATAAACCACTCAGCCATCTCTCCCGAAGATCCTTTTTTTGAATATCTATATCAGTGGAGGATAAAAAGTATGATTCTTGCTTTCCAATTGGCTGTTTTTGCATTAATTGCAACTTCATTAATCTTATTAATTAGTGTACCCGTTGTATTTGCTTCTCCTGAGGGCTGGTCAAGTAAAAAAAATGTTGTTTTATCCGGGGCATCATTATGGATTGGATTAGTCTTTCTGGTGGGTATACTGAATTCGCTTATCTCTTGATCCTTTTTGTCCCAAACTAAAAAGACCTTCTTCCTTTTTCTTGGTTGTGAGATACATTCCTTTTCAATATTATTGAATTAATTAATATAATTAATAAAAGTCTCTGCCCAAAAAATGAGAAGGGGTCAAAGTTCATATCATCCTAACGAGAATATTTGGTTCGACACTGCACAAATTAGGAATCAAGTAGAGATCTAATCTCCATTATATTCTATTTTATTAGATATTTAAATAATATATAATATAACTAAATAAGAAAAGAAAAACCGTGGATATGGTTGAATGGTAAAATTTCTCTTTGCCAAGGAGAAGATGCGGGTTCGATTCCCGCTATCCGCAAAATATCCAAATGAAAGAGGAATTTAATCCATTATTA